CTCATTCTTTAATTAGTTAATTTTCTTGATATAGTGTCTTGCTATGTAGTTCAGCCTGGCCTTCAACTCACTATGTAGCTCACATTGGACTCCAACTCACAGCAATCCTCCTGCCTCAGCCTTGGAAGTGCTGGGGATATAGGTGTGCGCCACCACAGTCACTCCCATTCTTTATTTTCTTTCAGATAGAATCATGCTAAATTTCTAAATTTCTTAGGCTGGGCTTGAATTTGTGATCTTTTTCCCAAGCCTTTGGAATGCTGAGACAGGCATGGGCTACTAAGCCAGGTTTCTTTTCTTTTCCTTTCCTCTTTCTTATTTTCTTTCTTCCTTTCTTTCTTTCAACAATCCAACTGAGTTAGCCAGTGGCTACTACAAATTCACAGACTAGTGACTTCACCTTCACTTTACATGGATCTAGGTCAAATAATATAAATAAGCCTCTATTTAATATTTTGCTTTACCATTAGATGAAGCCAATTAGACATAAGAGAGAAGATCTCGGGACTGGGGATATAGCTCAGCAGCACAGCACCTGCTTGGCAAGTGCGAGGCTGTGAGTTCGATTCCCAATTGACACTCTTACTTCAACTGCAACTAGCTGTTTGTCTAGGGGTAAAACTAGACTACACACACACACACACACACACACACACACACACACACACACAGAAATGCTAAGTTTCGGTATTTACATTGGCTCGGGAGATAGCTCGGTGGTCTAAGTGCCTGCCTGGCAAGCACAAGGATCCTTGGTACTGTATGCCATGTCAGTCTCAGAACTCCGGGCGTGCTGTGCCAGCCACTGAAACTTGGCCTGCTTGTGCACGCCTGCAATCCCAGAACTAGGGAGGCTGAGAGAGGAGGATCACTAGGAGTCTGAGCTGCATAGCAAATACATTTATTTACCAAATAAATAATATATTTTTCAAAAATTAAAAAAAGCTCTGCATTTACACTTCCTTAACATGTCAGTTCACAATTAATAATGCCCATTTTTGTCTTTCACAAATGTCAACTGGTCATTCACAAGTGAAAACTGCTTTTCTTTAAAAGTATTTTATTTTGGGCCGGCCAGATAGCTCAGAGGACTAAAGCCCCTGCTTAGGCAGAGCTCAGCAGCCGGTCCCTTCCTCAGCGTGCCACGCCAGCCCTGCCCCCAGGGCACACTGAGACTGCAATTGAGATTGGGCGTGGTGGCATGTGCCTATAATCCCAGCGCTTGCAAGGGTGAAAACAGGAGAATCATGACGAGTCTGATCTACATAGTGAGACCCTGTAGACTGGGCAGACCCCGTACCAAATAAAAATAAATAAATGAAATATAATACTTTTATTTTATTTTATTTTTTTGAGGCAGGATCTCATTACATAGTCTAGGTTGGCCTTAAACTCACTGTGTAGGCTCAGGCTGGCCTCAATCTTGTAGCAATCCTCCTGCCTCATCCTCCGTAGTACTGGGATTATAAGTGTACACCACACTATGTTTGAAGTATTTTTTTTAAATAAGAAATTAAAAAAATTATTTTAAAAAAGAAATTATGAGTATTTTAAGATTGTCTGAGATTACTGGTATATTCTGTGCATAATGAAAAATAAGCCAGCAAAAATCCTGCTATATGAAAATGTGATTTTTTATTAAAATTTTCTTTTTCCAGATAAAATATCTGAACCAGTTGTCTTTATTTGTCTAAATACTGAAACCAATGAACTTCTAAGAACTGTCAAAGGAAAAAATGGAAAAACTAGTTTAATATATAAAATACTTTCCTTATTAAAAATTTTACTCTAAGCATTTTAATGATGTAAAAATGAAAATGAAAATGAGAATCAAATATTCTCACTCCTAGGAATACATCTTAAGGATATATTTACACAAACTCAAAAGACACACTGTATATGAAAGAATATTTATAGCAACGAAGAACTACAAATAACTTGAATGTCTGTCAATACAGCAGTGAGCTTTAAAAACTACAAGCTGTGAGGCGTGGCGTGTGGCTTCGCCCCGGGTAAGGGGCCTGGGCGCTGGCCCAGAAGCTGCGGGCGAAGCAGAGTGGCTGTTTGTGCACCGTACACAGCATTCGTATTCAAACCAGAAGTTTAAAGCATCGTCTCTACCCATTTAAGCAGAACAATGTCTTCTTCAAATAAGTATCTTTAAGCTGTGTATGGTGGTGGCGCATGCCTGTCACCCCAGCACTTGGGAGGCTGAAGCAGGAGGACTGCCGTGAGTTCAAGGCCAGTTTGGGCTGCATAGTGAGTTCAAAGCCTGAACTATATAGCAAGACCCTGTCTCAAAAACAAAACAAAACAAAAACAAAAACAAACTAAAATAAACCAACAAAAAGCCAAATAAGTATCTTTACCACAAATATCTGACCTTTTGAATTTAATACAACATTATTCTTGGAACCATAAGTCCAAATGATATGATAGGTAAATTTTGTTGGCGAATGGTTTCATAAGTTACACATTTGGAAAAATGTATTTTACAGAATTATTAGAAACAATGACAGCAAGCCAGAACACTGCTGGCTACATGCTGTCCACCAAGTCCAGAAAAGCAGGCCTAGATGGGTATTCCACTGCCATTTAAACATGCAGGTGCTTGAGAAAAATATTCCAATACAGTCCAGTAGTCCATAATAGGGGGTTATCCGTAGGACTGGCAATGTCAGAAGTTGCTGACTTGAGCCTTCTACAGCTCAGCATATTGCTATAGCTTTGCTTTTCATACCTTGTCTTTACAACTTTCTGCTGGATGGTTAAGACCAAGATAAAGCAAGACCTATATAACAAGAATTGCAACCTTTGTATCTGACAAGGTCAGTCAAATCCCAAAACTAAACAAAAAATGGGATACAAATGAAAGACCATTTTGAATCTTTACGTACAAAATAGAATAGATATACAGCTACTTTCTCTTAATTCAATGAATAGAAACAATTCAAAAAAAAAGAAAGATTTGTTCTAATAGTGTTTGTGGACAGGATATCATGTCTGCATCTTGTACTATGAATAACTCATGAGAAGACAAAAATAATCAACGTGTTAATTCTTGAATCATTCCTACTAATTGGTTTTTAAACTGTCTCATCGCTGTTTGTTTCTCAATAAAATTATTTTAAAAATTTTTTAAAAAGCAGGACTGTCCACAACTGAGAACACCTAGGAAAAGGTATGTCAGTAGCTAGTCCTCAAAATAAAGTCCAAAATTCCCTACCTTATTATTAATTCTGAGGTATATTTTGATTCTATATTTTATTACAAAAGAAGTTAATATTCTGACAAAATACCAACATCTCAATCAAATGCATATCAGTGTAAAATAGGGCAGGTTAGTTTATAAATTTTTTAGAAGATCATTAAATAGTAACAGAGAAAGTAATTTCATATCCTCTCTGTGGCGACAGGAGAATAGAATTACTTCATTTGTTTACCAGTTGGGTTGAAAACAGAGAAGTTACAGAAGACAAGCCAGGAAAATACTTCTCCATTAAAATACATCCCACACACAAAGTTTGTTCTGTTCTTCCTGGTGGTCTGTTTTATCTAACTGTATAATCAAACCAACTGTATTACTAATAATTATAAATTGACATTATTATCTTTGACTGACGTTTTCATTTTTGCTAAAAATAGACTAAGCATATTAGGCATTTTTTTTTCTTTTTTCTTTTTTGAGACAGGGTCTTACTGCACAGCTCAGGCTAGCTCTGAACTCACTATATAGCCGAGGTTGGCCTTAAACTCACAGTGATCCTCTTGCCTCAGCCTCCCAAGTAGTAGGATTATAGGAGTGTGGCACTGTACTCTGTTAGGCATAAATTTTTTGTACATTTTTAATTTAAATTTTTTAATCATTTGTTTTAACTTCCACACTAGATTTTGACCTTTATAATCTTTATCTCCTTAATTTTGGTTTCTTGTGTTTGCAGATATCATTAAAAAGCAAAATGATTAAAACCTTGGTTCTACTTAATTTTAAAAGATTCCATAATACTGATTATGGAAACCCAATCTGACTTTTCCTCAAAAGCTTAAGAATAAATTCTTAAGGACATCAGAGCCAAAACAAAATGCATGCTCTCATGATAGCACTAGCTCCATCTTCTATGTGTTCTTATTAGGTTTAGATATTTTCCATCACCAGCCTTAACTCCAATAAGTAAATTTCCATCCATTTAAATTTACCATACATAACAGTTCTAGGTCATCTTGTAAAGGGAAAAGTAGCAAAAAATTAGATAAATTAGATAATTTGATTTCTATGTGGTAACTTAGTTTTAAAGTGATTTTAACATTAAATTTAATTATAAAATGTTCTAGCTCAAGGATATGTATTATTATGAAAGAGAAACTGATACCCAGACATGTTAAATGACCTGTTTATAGTCAGGCAATGATCATGCTGAGAAATGACATTTTATTTTTGTTTCCAAACCAAATATTTTTCTACCATTCCACAGTGCCTCAAATTATCCTTCAGGACAGAATAGTATTAACTACATTTATCTAGCAAAATTAAAGGAATCAATTCCAAAACCGTATTTCTTTACCACTTATTGCAACAGTCCCATTTTTACACTGCTATTGTACTGGAATGTTTATTCTTCGTGGTAACAATTATGAATAGGGACATATCCCAGAGAACTACAGAACTATAGGCACTAGTGTAATGAACACAATGTATCCATCCACCCTCCACTTCAGCAAGTACCAGTATAGGTGTTACCAGCATACAGTGTATCTCTACGTGCATCCTTACTCCTCCAACCCCAGGTTATCTTGGCGTACATGATTTCATTTGTAAGTATCTTAGCATATACCTCTAAAAGATGAGTCCTTTTAAAAAATATTATCATACCTAAAAAGTTAGTACTTCTTTACATTAATCATACAATACTTTAAGCACTTAGATACTAACTCCATTTTGCTATCAATATCCATTTTCCCAAAAAGGAAAAAACTACTTCATAAAGCAGTCTGATGTCCCTTAGGAAATTTCTTAGTGTTCAAGGAAATATTCCGTTTCAAAATTACAAACTCATTATACTATGGAAACTCTCGCAGGGGTTAGCTGAGATCTCAGGCAGGAAATAACCAAATGGATAAAACTCCATATTTGTAATAGTAAACCTAACATAAAGGATTTAAATCATTACCCACAATTACATAGCAATCTAAATAAAATCTAGAACATTAGATCTTAAAGTACTGGTGAAGCCAGAGATTAATTCAGTATATTCTTACTAAAACCAGTTCTAAATTTTTAAGTTTCCACCTAATGAAGTCTTTTCAATATGCATGTTTGACCTGGACTGTATTTGGAGAAAAGATAAATTTTGGATCATTCCGCAGGCTGGCTCCTTATCTACTGTTCTTACAGTGAAGCATACCACTCTTCAGGATGTTCTGCAGGATGGATAAGTAACATTCACATGATGGTTACACGCTATGAAATTCAACAGACACGTGGATCACACAACATGCTAAGCATCAAGGCTGTCCTAAGGAGCTAACAGTCAAAAGGAGAAGTGAGGAGGGAAAAACAGCCATAAAAACAGATACACTGAATTTAGCATAGCTGGTGCTAAAACAGAAATAGGTCAGAATGTGAACACAGAGAGGGCAAACCCCAGCTACAGAGTGCACAGATGACTGTGACCAGGAGAAAATGACAGGGAAGGGAATTCTAGACCTAAGATGTAGCATGAGCAAAAGCACGGCGGCATACAATTGTTTCATGTTCAAGGAAACAGAGAACGGCAGGGAGTAATGTCCAAGGAACAGACAGAAGCCAGAAAGGAGAGCTCTTGTGTACTGTGGTAAGCGTGGCTCTGCCCTACATGAGGGCTACCTCAGGCTCCAGCAGGATGGTTGCATGTTAGTGCTTTGTCTTCAGATTGACCCAGTCGTAACAAATTAAAAAATGTGGATTGCAAGAAGGTAAGAACATGGGCCAGGAGATGGCTCAGCAGCACAAGTTCCTGCCTGCCAAGTGCCAGGCCCTGAGTTCAATCCCTGGTGCCAAAATGTATAGTGTGAGGAGTCTGAAAGGAAGATCCTGGAATCTGGAAAACTCTGAGGAGACTGAACTGGCAACATTCTATGTTGGCTACAGAGAGGGAGAAGGAAGAAAATATGTAACTTTTACATTTTTGGAAATATGGTCTAATGGATAAGCTGAGGGCATTTTGTACTAAAAGCTCACCTTATGATAAAAGTCGTCCTTTATTTAAAACATCTTTGTTTTTAATAGAAATGTTCTTACCTTAACCTGTATAAACTTCCCTGGCAACATGCTCTACATGAAAGGTCTATGTCACAGGATGATGAATCTCATTATTTCCTAAACATATATTAAGACATCTGATATTTAGCAAACATTTTCACTCAGAAGTTAAATGCAACCAACTGCTTTAAAATTCTGGTGTTTGCATCATTAACTTGTAGCAGTTTTGACAAAAAACTTACTATTATCTAAGCATTTTACTAAACAATTATTTGTTTTTATTTTATGGGTGAGTGCAATGACCAGAACTTCTAGAGTAAATGTTGAATAATAATGACAGTGCAGGGGCTGGGGAGATAGTTCAGCAGAATAAGTGCTTGCCTGGCAAGTGCAGGGTCCTAAGTTCAATCCCTGGTACCGCAAAAAAAAAAAAAAGAAAAAGAAAGAAAGAAAGAAACAATGACAGTGCAGATATACTTACTCCTATGGTATCAGAAATGTCATTAATATTTCACACTAAATATCTGTCATGTTTAAATGGCTCACTTATGAAAAATCACCACTTAAAAATTATAAGTTAGGTCCTCAGCTGACCACATAAAAAGACCCATCATTTTCTCTCAAAGATTTCAAAAGATACCCTATTTTTACATGTGCATTACATGAAACTTATAAAATATGAAGTAACTATTAATAAACTTTTCTAGAGAACATTAACAAACAAATCATTTCCTATAGAACAGATACAAAAACTTATAACCAGGAAAATACCGCTTATAGAAGATACTAACTATAAACAGTATATCTTGAATTATTTCCAAACTGAAATGGGCAGAGTTTCAACATGGACTAAACGTTATCCACTAATAAAGCAATGGTCTTACCTGTAACGAACATGAAAAGAATGGTCTTCCCTCATGCTTATTAAATTTTCCTCCATCGAGTCATATTATAAGCTGAGTAAAACATAAAAGTATCTTATTTTGTGCCAATCCAGTTCTTTACAGTGTAGAATTGTTTGCAGAACATTGTCCGGTTAGTACATTAATGAATTGGTGTTAATACATCCTAAGCTCCTGCTTCTTCTTTATTAATAATAAAAGGAGGTCAATGTCAGACAGCTTAAAAGTTCAAAATATATCCCAAATCCTTGCATCTCTGGCCCTTTCAGCAGCACTTCAGCAACGTTTCTGCAAAAGGAACACAAGATGCTTTGCTTGAAGTCCTGTTTTCAAAGAATAACTTAAAGTAACCCTGCGCTGTTTATAATCACACAGCTAACTCCACAGGCTGCTGTCATGTCAGTCACTCAAGAAAATCGCAGTGGGATTAAGCATCATCATGGGGATTATAAATAAGCATGTGAATAGAAGAGATTTGTCTGAGAGTTGCCCTTCAACCTTTTACAATGATTTAAATACAGTTTTATGTAATATTTTCTATTATAAACAATCAAAGAACATGTATCCTATTAGTACTTAAAAATTATGATGCCTTGAACTCTTTAAAATTGCTTTGATAAACCAAAAGAAAAAAGGTTCATTCTAAACTATAAATTTATTTCTTCAAGGATATACTGATTAAGATACACAGATTCATTTGCTCTCGAAGTAAATTTTATTTAAACCATTTAAAATGTTATTAATATCGAGTGAGTGCAAAAGAATGATGCAACAAACATGCACTGACTACACCCACCCTAAGGTGAAGAGCACCACCACGCTTCTGATGTCTCCTGCGGCCCGACTCATCCTCCCTTTCCTCTCATGTGGCTGTTAAAGTAAAGTGTTCATCATTCCACTGCACATCTTTGCAACTTCTCCATAAATAAGTCCTGAATAATACATTACTCAGTTTTGTGTGATTTTCTTAACCGTGTGCTTTTTTCCCTTTTATTTTACTTTACTGTATTTAGTACAAAATCACCAGGGTCTCACTACACAGACAGGACTTGCAGTGATTGCGGGGATTATGGGCGCACGCCACCACCCCCAGTCTCAGTCAATGTCTCAGCACACCCCGGGGGCAGGGCCCACACAGCACACCAAGAATGGAACCCTATTTTTTTTATTTTAAAGAGAACAGAGAAAACAATCAAAAGATAAAATTTCAAAACAAGATGAAAAAAAACCAAGATGACAAGAAATCAACAATAGTGTTATATTGCACATTGTTATCTTCAAAGTAGTTGCTCAGATTAGCAGATACAGGCTGCAAGATCGGCTGAACAATATACACCTCATGTTTCTGAGATGCACCTCAATCGCCTCTAAGCTGCACATTCTTATTGCTCTACTATGTCCCATATTCTTTATTTTACCATTGATGGGCACTTGGATTTCTTTCTATGGATTTCTCTCTCTCTTCTGCTATCATTAAATGTACCACTATGAACACTGATATTAGAAATGTAATATGCTAGTTAGGCAGCAGAACAGACATAAAGAGAATGACAGGTAAAAAATGAAAAACATCAAGCAGCAGTTGAAAGAAGAGAAAATGAGAAGCTCTAGCATAAATCTAACAGGAGCACTAGCAAGTAAGGAGAAGTAAATGCAAAGTTTTCATGATAAAGACTGAGAATTTTGGAGAATTAAAGACATAAGTCAGCAAATTAAAGAAGCACAAGTCCTAAAAGTGAATCTATGCCCAAATATATCACAGAAAATCAAATATGAACTATAGCCTTTAAGCTGGCAGTTAAAAGGACAAAGAGAACCAAGCAGTGATGTAATCCCATCACCTGGGGCTGAAGCACGAAGATTCCAAATTCAAGTCCTGCCTAGGCATCCCTGTCTCAGAATTTAAAAATACAGACACCCTTTGTTTAACAACTGTTTAATAACTTTGGACTTAGGACAAAGAGGTACACTGTTCAGACTTAAAAGCCACTGCTTGGGCTTAGGATCCCTCTTTTTTTTTTGTACAGTTCAGTAAATCTTGCTTATACAGCCTCGATGTCTTTTTTTGTACAGCGCACCTTGTTTATATAGTACTATAATTTTTGCTGGTTATATTGTATAGCACCATACTGTAGTTTTATGTTGTTATATGTTACAGTACTGCATGCCAAAGTTATGCACAAAAGCAAAGTCTTAAAGCTAGAGTTTCCTTTGATCATTCTGGGGAGTCATTATAGTAATATATATAATTCCTCATCTTGTGACCAATTCAATTAATGACCTAGTTGCAGGACTGTCACTTGGTCATTAAATGAAGAACATCTGTAAAAGCAGCTAGGGATGTGGGGGGGAGGGGGGGAAAAGAGAGAGAGGGAGGGAGGGAAAGAGGGAGAGAGAGAGAGAGAGAGAGAGAGAGAGAGAGAGAGAGAGGAAGGAAGGAGAGAGGGAGTGACAGACAGAGACAGACACAGACACACAGAGAATTATGAAGCCCTGGAATATCAGTGTTACAAATAACACCTACAGGAGGCCAGGCCAATTAAGCCAACATTTTATTACTCCATTTCTAGAAGGTCTTAAAACAGCTGATGCTAATTTTATTTTACTTTTTTTTTTCTTTTTTTTTCTTTTTTTTTTTTTTTTTCAGAACTGGGGATTGAACTCAGGCCCTTGCACTTGCCAGGCTAGTGCTTATTCTACTGAGCTATCTCCCCAGCCCCAAATTCTTAAAAATCAGTACAGTTCTTTTTTTTTTGCAGAACTGGGGATTGAACTCAGGACCTTGTGCTTGCCAGGGAAGTGCTTATTCCACTGAGCCATCTCCCCTGCCCCCAGCTGGTGCTAATTTTAAATAGTCCTATTAGAAAGCTCATTATACTTTGAGCAATTTTTTTCCATTTCTACCTATTTGTCCTGGTTCTTCCTTCTGTTGCCATACATTATAAAGCCTAATCTTCTTCAGCATAACACTCTTAAGTGCCTCAGCTATAACATAAACCAGGCTGTACAAAAACTTCCACTGCTTTGTTAGTTAAGTACCATTAAAAGAGGCTAATAGGAAACAGAGCAGCAGGGTGACAGAGGAGGGCCAGCCTTCGATACACTGACAAAGGCTTCTAGAGGAAATGAAGTTTCCATACTACCCAGCTTGGCATGTAAAAAAACCCACGAAATAGTATTCTTCCTATTTCTTTTCTTGTCCAACAAAGGAAGCAATAACTCAAGATGGGTCAGAGCTATTAATCTAATAAATAAATCTCTTTTCCTTCTGTTCAGAATTCCACTGTGCCTCTTTTTTCCTTAATATAATAAAAACATTACTAAAAGGAATTAGTGTGGCTATTCAGAACAATCGCTCCAAAGTGTTTAGATAACACAACAGCCAAAAGGGCAAACAAACTGTCAAATATTCAATAGGAGGTTCTAGCCTGATCTTTGTAAAATAAGACAAAAGGAATGGTATTAAGGCTTATTTAACTTGCAACTAATTATTTTATTTAAATATCTATGAGGTTATAATGAAATTCCAAAATTTACTAATTTTTAAAATGTTAAGTTCATATTAAAATGTATATACTATAAATGAAGTTGTAAAGTATCTTACTTTAGGACAACTGTGTAAAGAACCACTTTTAAAATAATTAAAACCATCAAGAAGCCAGAATGCTAGTCAATATTTTATGAGGAATTTTTTTATCCTTCTCAAAAGAAAAGTATCCAAAACAGCCATATTACAATTTTCCTAACTATTACACAGCATTTATGCCCTGCCCCATGGACAGCATCCAAATAAGGGCTTTCTATATATCAGGAAGTGCTCTACCAGTGAGCTACACCAGGTTCACAAACTCACACTAACTCATTTTTAGATGAATGCAATGTGGGCTGTCATCTAATCCTATGTGTCAGTTTATTTATTTTGCTGTCTGGGGGATAGAATCCAGGGCCTCCTACATGCTAGGAAAGCACTCTACCACTGCACTTATCTCACCCTCTCCAAAGTTCTATTTCTGACATTTTATCTGGAAGACTAAGGAGAAACAAGAGGGCAAGTATAAGGAACACCACACTTAAAATTGAGAATAGCACAGTAAGAGTGGGAACCTAATACATATAGGAATACATGAGCAGAGCATGGGTAAGAACAACGTCCTACAGAGACAATGAGGCAAAAAGAGCTTGATTCTATTGTGCAGATGAGGAGGCAACTAATAGCAAAAAAACCTACTTTGACACCAAAAAATGATACTGCTGTGAGAAACCAGGGAAAGTTCTGGGAAGAGAGTAGGACTTAGTGACTAACCCTTGAATCTTACATGTCTTTGAAACTAAAAACCTTAAGTACTAACAAAATCTAAATGTTACAGTAAATCATTGGCAAAATTAAAGAAAAATTCCATCAGGAGAAAAAACGTAAAAAGCAATACATAATAGCCCTGATTTCTTTATTCAAAATACTCAATCTCTAAGTCAAAAATGTAGCAAAAACTGCTGCCTAACACTGTGAATGAAAGATGAACTCAAGATTACATATGAGTCTATCCACCTCTAACAGTGTTGAGCACCGTGAGTACTACCGGGGCAAACAGCAAATGCACGACTAAGGTTCGGTATTACTTTACTGTAATCTCCGCAACAATCAATGTACGGTTTGAGATTTTAGGTCCAGTTTGTTTAGAAAACAAGTGGAATTAAAAGTGGAAATGCTAACATAAACATTAAGAGCTTTAGGACTGGGGATGTAACTCAGTAGTAGAGCATTTGCCTAACATGTGAGTACGTGGGTTTGATCGCCAACAATTCAAAATAAATAACTAAATGAAAACTTCCATTTAATTAATTAATTAATTAATTATTGGTTTTTCTTGTAACAGGGTCTAGCTCTGTAGTTCAGGTTGGCCTTGGACTATGTAGACTGAAACGAAAACTTTCAACCAGCTAAATGAACCAAATAATGTTCCAAGGATGAACCAGAATAATAGCTATATATTCCAAATAAATCTGAAGGCATACCATCAATCAGTGGGTTCCTAAATGTATCTGAAATTATAAGAGCCACTATGAAAACTAAATAATACAAAACAAAATATGATTAATCTCAAACTCAATTTTACTCTTGAATATTTGAGAGATTCTGGAACCAGTGCCCCTTAGGTAACAAGAAATGACTGTATAAACCTCTTTTCTTGGTGAGGAACATTTATATTTTGTCCTATCATATAAAGCTAAAAGGACAGTTCAAACATGAAATTAATCCAGAAGAACAGGGTTTATTTCAAGCCTT